TACAGGCTTAAGAATGTACCCTGTAATAATGTGTTTTTCTTGTGCATCATTTTTGTATCCTTAGCTTTTATGAAACCACCACAGGTTCACCTTATGTGTTTTTAACATCCTTTTATAGATGTAAATCAGTCAGAAAGCATTCTGTATCTAAACTTTGAATGTATTACTTTTTTTTTATGTTTATTCTAATTGTTTATGTTTGCATGTGCTGCTGGAGGAAGAGGCCACTGAGCTAGAGCAATCTCAGCTGTTGAGGCACCACTCTGGTTTAGGTTTACATGTCCTGGCCTGTTAGTTCTACTTCTAGCTCTATATTCTCCAGCTTGTAATGAGCTATTTGCAAATTGCAAGGCACTGGTTTGAATGTTGACATGACCTTTATTTTACAATCAGGGGTAATCTTTTTGAACATAGACACATGCATTGCATTTTTAACATGGGAGACATAATGTACCACCCCATGATTAATTGGTCCATCATGTGGTCATCTCATGCAGTAAACCTAATGTATTTCATGCGCTGCCTGGCTGATAATAGACGATATCGCACACAATGTGGTTGGCAATTAATATGACAACCGGTAATTGCAATAATCTCTGTAGTTTGTTTTGAGTTTGAGCTATGTAGATTTCCTGATTTTTACTCTGGCTCTTATTTCAGTGCTGGTGCTGAGGACCATTGCATGTACTCGTAATGCCATCTAGAGATCTTTCAAACATACTATCTGCAAGAATAAAGGTATGGGCCTTCTCATTGCTTCATTGTTATTGTTTCGAACCTGTTCAGGCCTGGGAAGCAAATTATAACAATTATTGTTTGGACCAAGATTTTTTTTTCTTTTTTTTTTCTGGGAATAAACCGGCACTAGGATATATCAATTTCATTGAATAGAGCAGTAGTAAAACTGTACAAACATTACCTATACAGGGGAAACAAAAGAAAAGGCTCAGCTTTGGACCAATATGTGCTTGTGAAGGCAGCAATTCTTTAATAATTGTAACCACAGATAGGCTGGAACAAACATCAATAGATCGATGAACTGTAGTTCTGTCAATGTATCTTTACCCATGTTTTTTTCCTTCACTCGGTTCTCTAATTCACAAATGCTCTTGGCATGACGTTCCTGTCGTTGGAGTCCATTCAAATCACTTCAACCATTCAAAGATGCTCAAATCACTCTGCCGGTGTTTTGGCCGCTTTTTAAGTCAAAGAAGTTTGTAAGGCACTAAAAGTTTAGGTCCAGTGTAGTAATAGACCGTCAGGTCTTTTTCTCCGATTATTATCCTTGCTTTACTGGACTGGGAATCTACGTATCTACTTTGGTTTAGCAGAGCAGTTGAGATGTTAGAGTCAGGGCAATGGCGTTGCATGTTTGGCGTGCTTATAAACCAGTGCCCAAAAGCACTTTGGCCGGTTATCCCATCTGCTTTGCTACTTGATTACCATGGACCACCATGCACATGAAAATTTGGACTTGGAAACTCCCCTAATTGATCGCCGTTTTATGTACTGTGCAGTGTGCTATAGCCTACATGAATGTGTACATCGACGCAATCATCTACGGATCTACGGTACAAATGGTGACAAGGCTATCTGAGCAATCTGGTGAGAGACCAGAGAATGATCAAGCTGAGCCATATTGTACTGGTCCATCTTTGCATGCTTAAAGAAAAGCGTGGAGTAACTTGGTATCGATGCTTTTAAAAATGTGAAATAATTTGGTATGGATGGTTAAAGGAAACAACTTTCTGTCCTGCCAGAAATTCATACAGGGAACCGGTGAAGATGCACGACAAGCTAAGCTTGAAGACTACTGTAGGTAAGATTCTTAATCTCTTCCCTTCATATCTTAATGAAATTTGGTGGGCTAATCTTTCGTTGCCCGGCAAAAAAAGGATTCTTGACCTCCCCTGCTCTCTCCTTTTCATTTTTTAAAACTTTTTTCTACGTCATCTTGCGTGCTGAATAATTGTCTCGGTTTTTGCACCATGCTAAGTCTCGTTGACCACTATTATCGTAGATAATTGGTCAAGCCTACCCGTTACATTTGGTATTGACATTCTCTGGGTCAACCGTGAAACTGCCGCCCTCTCATCCGTTCATACTTCATACTAGTTGACTGGGAATTGCTTGCTTGTATCCTTGTACCTGTGACATCGATTGTCCGAGCTGACTTCCGGTTGTTTACTGTGGTAGAGTTCAGACCGAATACCGCTTTGTTTCCTGGTCTGCGTGTCGCTCGCATCGCGGTTTTGACTGCATTCATCAGAAGATTGGGGGCGTACACACTGGCACTATCAAACTACTAGTAGTAGGTCTTTGCAGCCTGTCGGCGTTTTGCATGACTTCACTCCAAGCTTGACAAATTTGTTGTAGCGTAGGGGTAACAGCAAGAAATTCTCCCCCTCGTGGCAATACTTTTATTGCACTGAGATTTCCTCTTCGTCGGTATATATGTCGTCTAGGTTTGGTAGTCAATGATATTGTAGCTTTGTAGAATGTTTCAAATATGCATCCAATTCATATAGAAAATGGAAAAGCATCATGTTTGTTTCAAACACAGCTTTCAGCCTTTCAAGGATATGTATATGAAAATATATTGTTTGTAATTGTCATGAGATATGGATACAGTTCCAATCTACATGTGTGATTCATTGCTTATTCAATATATCAAGTATAGGTAGTGCTAGAGTAAACGCAGGAACATGCTATAATATATCAAGGGGTATCAAATGCGTCTCGTTTTATCCAATACGCAAGCACATACGATGTGCAAAAGTAAAATGTTTATACCTGTAATGAGACGCTTTGTAAGGTATATATACAACGTGCTATGGAGGGTATAAGTAGTAGATGAAAGTACTTTTCATCATGCATCTACTAATATCGTTTTTACACTTCCTATCTATATGTTTTTGCAGTCATTATACCCCCCCCCCCTTTTTTTTTAATTTGACTGAACCCAATGTAAAACATCACCTAAAACAACGACTTACCTGCATGTATCCACTGGGAGCTACTTAGCTGGTTTAATTTCTCCATTTTTAACCTTGGTCTAATCCTCTAGAACACCTTTCTCTACCCCATCCTGACAAAAGCAAAGCACCGTGGCACCGGCGCACCGCCCAGACCAAATCACCAGACCGTTCATCGGTCATCAGTGTGCTGTGCGCATCAGACCTGATTCCGCATCAGAAAAAGGCGCTGCAAAGCTGCCGTCCTGCTGCTGGCCAGATTTGGGAAAACCCCAGGAGGCCCATTTAACGAACGTTCGGTTTGGACCCCCCCGCTGGTTGCACGACCGATCCGCCTCTCCCTCTCCGCTCCCCGCGCGGTGCACGAGCCGGTTGCCGCCGCGCGCACGGCCGCTCATCTCGACAGATCGAGACGTACGCGACCACCGTGACGCACGCACGTCGGTGCCGCGCGCCGCCGTCGCTTTCGCTCCTCTCTCTCTCTTTCGCCGGGCGCGGGTTGTGCATGTCAAAGCTCCTCCGATCCGGCCACATCTCCGTCCAGAGACCAGGAGAGCCAAAGCCAGCAGCGGCCGGGGCGATCAGATGGAGACTCGAGAGACTGGATGCGCGCGCGCGCGCGCCCTCACCGGTGGTTTTGCTCGCGAGTCGCGGCGCGCGCACCGGCCGCGTGTGTGCACGAGAAACCGACCGCCTTTTGCACAGTGCGAGCCTCTGAAAACGCGACACCTTTGACGGACGACAGTTTTTGGTTTTGGTTCCTTTTGCTTGCTACGACTACCGCCGACTTTGAAAACGTACTACTCGTCCAAAAAATGTATAATCGCGACTTCACACGTGGTGATGAGGTATAAGATCGATTTCGTGGTCTAATTAAGGGGCGAGCGACGATTATATACTGAAGTATATTACTCCCTCCGTTTCACAATGTAAGAGCCCCTTTGATTTGAAGGAAAAATATAGGAATTTTAGAGGATTTCAATCTTATAGGAAAATTTCCTATGAAGCCTTTTGAAACAAATGATTGAATTATATCCAATCCTTTAAAATTCCTATGGAATAGACAATCCTATAGAGATTTTGGAGGAAATTTAGCAATAGCTTCAACCTCTTGCTAACTTTTCTTTGAGTCTATCTCTCTCATCCAATTCCTGTCTTTTCCTGTGGTTCAATCAAACGGTTATTCCTATATTTTTCCTGTGTTTTGCAATCCTCTGTTTTACACTTACATTCCTATCAAAATACTACGTTTTTCATATTCCTACGTTTTCTCAATCCTGCGATTCAAAGGACCCTAAAACTTTCTAGCATTGCTCATATCCATATAGATTCTAATGAATCTAGACATTATTTTATATATAGATTTATTAGCATCGATATGAATGTGGATAATACTAGAAAGCCTTATATTGTGAAACGGGGAAGTATGTTTCACCGCTTTGGTTAACTGCCTCGTACGTAAAGTCTTACCGCCTCTAGTTTTTTTAGTTATAATGATTAATCTTGGGCTGATCAAGCTGGTTATTTGTTGATTGGTCGTTCAGGGCTTTCTCTGTCCTGCAATTAAGTACTATACTTAAGTGAGTTGCTCATGGTGTCATTGGTGACTTCATGAGGGCAAAAATGATAGACCGGGTCAGTTTCCTACGCCATCGAAACACTAGTACGGTCCCTCGTAAGCTTTTCCTTGATCGACCAACCAGAAGAGTGACTTGACTGCGGCTTCATAGTACAAATACCGCATTAATTTATAGACTTACCGGTCGTGCCGTCCTAATAAGTCATTAACAAATTAAGATGGAGTTGACGTGAACAGAGTGGTAACTGGTAAGATAGATAAAGACTGGGGTTTGATGAAACCATGCCACTCTAATTTTACAAAATTTGAGATTACCCACATGAGTCAATGACATGTGTGTTAAGATGGTGTATCATAAATTTTGTAAATTTTGTGTGGCATGGTTTAAATTTTCCCTAAAGACTGTTAGGCACCGGTTTTTCCATGTGCAAACTCCACATGAGTTGAAGACAGTAAAATGTGATACTGATCAATCGAGGCTTAACCGTCCAAGACCTGCATGTAATGGAATTGAAATCTTAATTGTGGAATGCAGAAATTCCATGCGATCTACGTACAGATTTCACTGCAAAACAGTTTAATTCCACACGAGTAGACAAAAAAAGAACATGATGCATTAATTACCGATTTACCGTAGCCGGTCGTGCCGTCCTAATAAGTCATTAACAAAGCTGGGGTTGATGTAAACAGAGTAGTAAGATGGATGGACTGTAATTAAGGCACCGGTTTCTTTTTCCATACGTAGACTTCACATGAGTTGAAGCCAGTAAAACGTGACATTGATCGATCGAGGGTTTACTAGCCAAACCTGCATGTAATGGCATTGAATCTTTACGTGTGGAACGCAGAAATTCAAATGTTACGTACGTACTCCGAGATTTCAGTATTTCACAGCAAACAGGTCTATTCCGCGCAAGGAAAAAAATAATAATCTCACAAACTGGAGACGAGATGAAGGTTGAAAACTGGGCTAGCTTGTGCTGGAAAACGACCGGGCAACGAACGGAGGAACAGGCCACGCGTAGCGCGAACCAGAGACGTGCCACGGTGCCCCGCTACCACGCAGCACATGCACATCCCAGCGAGGAAAAAAAGCTGTCTTCTGTTGCCTTGCTGCCCCCCTCTTTGACGCAGCGTTCCGCGGCTCCGGCCCACGCCATGGCCCCCACGCCGTATCTTGGTCCGCCGATCGCGCCTAGCTACGCTACACGCATCTCACCTCACGCATGTTGGAGTACTGTACTACGTACACGCGGCTTCAATGCGCGCAACTGCTGACGAACCAGTGAACCACCACCCGCGGCCCGCCGGTCGTTCGCTCGCTCGCTCGAGTCGACGTATCGATCGGCCCCCGGGTCCCCCCGCGCCGCGCGAGCGCACGTTACCACCACACACGTTACGTTACGCCCGTGCCGCCCGACGCGCGCGATCGAGCGCGCGCGCGACGTGATCCCGCAGCAGCAGCGTCCGCACCCATCACTGCGCGCGGCGCGTTCACCGATCACCGAACCGCACGCCAGCGACGGCGGACGCGGGCACGGTGTGTGTGTGTTGTTGCTGTGTTGCGTACTACGTGCGTTGCGTTTCGCGTGCCTCCGCGATCGGGACGGCGGGTAAGTAGGGAGATGAAACTCCAGTAGTACACAGTACACACGGTACTGGCCTAGTGGCCTACTACTGGGTGCTGCGTGTTTCAAGGCGACGTGGAGCGGTCGTCCCCGTCCGTCCATGCCTAGAGCCGTACGTCCACGTCGGCTATGCTTGGTCAGTTCAACCGAATTTAATTCGCCGCTAGTCCTGAATAGAGTTCAGGCAGCATACTCTTCCAAGTACTGTAGATCTGTGGTACTCAATCTGTCTTAAACTATAGGCAAAAATGGTTACGTAGCATTGAAAGTTTATGTTTTTTTATAGCATTAAAAGATACCGGTTCACTTTAATAGAATATAAAGTTCACCCTGTTTCTATTTTTAACACTTACGTCAATTCTCGATCATTTTTCCGTCCTCGATCGCTATTGACCTAGGCACGCACACAATATGACATTTTCTACCCCTCATTGCCATGCATTGTACTTGTACTTGTGAGAGGTAGAAACACTGTATCGCGTGAATGGCTGGGTCAATAGCAATCAAGACAGATGGAAAACGATCGATAATTGACGGAAGTGTTAAAAATGGGAATATGGCGAACTTTAGGTACTACTAAAGTGAACATGTATCTTTCGGTGATATAAAACAAAAAACGTGAACTTTCGATGCTATATAATCAATTTTGCCTAAAATGTAGTAAGATATTTTAGATGAATATGACAGTACTATAAATCTAGACGCTCCCTATTCAGATTCGTAATATTAGAATGTGTCACATACATCCAGAATCTCTTAGTCTCTCCATCCAAAAATATAAAAAATTAGTACCGGATAGGATATATTTTAGTAAACGAATCTGGACATTCTGAAACGGAGAGATTATATTTTAGGACGGATGAACTACTAGCAGTAATGTTTTAAAACGCGGATTTATTTATCTCTGCTTCAAACGGTGCAACCGAAGCACCTCTTTCTCGGGATCAACATCAGCAGCACGGATGCTTTGATTTCATGAGACAGCGCATTCTGCCACAACATATAAGGCCATTCCTAACTTATTACACTAGACATAGTTTCCATAAACTCAACATCATCAAGAAATTAGTACTAGACACTAGTCTTCCAATGTAAACACCACTATTCCATGCTTCAATTTAATGCTACTTATCTCACATGATGTCTTGGAGGATGTGTAAAAACCATGTCTCATGCAAGACATGGTTTTCTTCTCTTTCCTCATTTATTCATTTCCCACATTATTTTTTATCCTATGTGACATCTTATTTAATGCTATAGATATCATCCTAGTTATTGGGTTGGAAATGGCCTAATTGATTTCAGCACGAATGTCTGATCTGATCAGTTCCTAGCAATTTATTGGTATTAATACGAGTATATTTTTCATTTATCCCACGCACATCATTACGAAATAAAAAAAAAGCCAATATACCTCACAGAATGCAAATATTACTCATTTGATCTATTTTCAATACAT